CCTGGGTGTGGTTGTGAGGAGTCAAAAAAATATGATGAATCACATAGACTTTTGGAGTTTCTTATGGGAGTAAATGAGTCATATGCCCAGTCCAGTAATCAGATTATGATGATGTCCCCAACTCTTACCATAAGCAAAGCCTATGCTATGATCATCTCAGATGAGAGCAGACAATCATTAGAAACCTCTACATATGTTGTTGACAATCAAGAGAACTTAGCTCTCTTCAGCAGTGGCAATAGTGGAGCTTACAACCCTGGGAACATAACCTTGTTCACCAGCAAAAGAGGTCCTAACTCGATGAATAATTTCAGGACAAGAAAAACACTCTGTATTTTGACTATTGTAACTTCAAAGGTCACACTAGAGAGACTTGTTACAAGCTAAATGGCTACCTACCATATTTCAAGTCAAAGAAGAAGTACAACCCTGCAGGGAACTTTGCAAAAGACAGTCAAGGTGTGCATGCTGGGAATACAGTTAAAGCTTCAAACCTTGGTCCAACAGGAGGAAACTTTGGAGGTACTACAGCTAACTTTGCAAGAAGCACCTCAACTGTTGGAGAGGCATCTTATAGTCAGAATTAGAGTAACTCAGTGGTAGTGCCTCACTTCACACCAGAACAATACTCGCAGATTCTTCAGCTCCTAGGAAAGGGAAGTGAAAGCAATGAAGCAACTATGGCAGCAGGTATGGACAATGATGCTCAAATGTTATTGATGTCACTGATGAGGCTGTTTAATTCACTAAATGGATAATAGACTCAGGAGCCTCTAATCATATGGTTAGAAGTCTGAATTAATTGACTGACTCTAAACCCTGTGATAAGTTTAGAGAAGGAAAAATGCTCCTATCTATTGGAAGTTTAGCCACTTTTAAGCACATAGGAACTGCTTATACCTTCCTAGGACAGATGATAACTAATGTCATGCATATCCCAGAGTTCAAGTACAACTTACTATCAATATCAAAGATAACAAAAGAGTTGAAGTGTGCAGTCTGTTTCTTTCTTGATTTCTGTATTTTTTAGGATCTATTCAGTGGTGTGAAGGGGATTGGTAAGAAAGATAGTGGACTATATGTGCTCACTTCTAATAGTAGACTGCAGTTTGTGGACAGTTTAGGAAGGGACATTTCAACATCACTTGCTGTAAATACAATAAAAGAGATGGATGGTAGAATAAATGTAGCCTTGTGGCATAAAAGACTAGGCCATGTGCCATTTGATGTTCTAAATAAATTACCTGTGTTTTGCACTATTGAAAGTGCAGATTCTGATAAATATTGTACAGTATGCCCTTTGGCTAAACAAACAAGGCTACCATTTCCTTTAAGTACTACTATTTCTACTAGTTGCTTTCAAGCAGTTCATGGTGGTGTCTGGGGGCCATATAGAGTACCTACTCATGATGGAAAAAGGTACTTTCTAAACTCTGGTAGACGATCATTCCAGGTATATCTGGATTTTTCTCTCACCTTCTATAGCTGAAGTCATTGTTGCTCATAGAAATTTCCTTCTTACGGTTGAGAATGTATACTCCTCTACAGTAAAGTTTCTAAGAACTGACAATGTTTGTGAGTTTTTTTAACTCTCAGATGACAGACCTACTACAAAGTCTAAGCATAGTTCATTAAATCTCTTGCACATACACTCCACAGCAAAATGGAGTTGTAGAAAGGAGGCACGGGCACATTCTAAATGTAGCTAGAACCTTGAGGTTTCAAGCAGAAATTCCACTTATATTTTGGGGTGAGTGTGTGCTCACAGCAGTATATCTTATTAACAGGCTGCCTATCTCAGCCCTTAAAGATAAAACTAAAATTCCTTTTGAAATGCTGCATAGTAAGCCTCCAATTTAGATCATCTAAAGGTGTTTAGCTGCCTGGGGTATGTTACTGATCTGAGGAAGGCAGATAAATTCTCTCCTAGCGAAGTCCCTGCTGTGTTTCTTGGCTACTCTATGACATAGAAGGTGTATAAGATGTACATTATTCACTCAAGGAGCTTCTTAGTCAGTAGAGATGTGGTGTTCAAGGAAGATATTTTTTCTTTTCAATACTTGGACACTGTAGTTACTTCCTTATTTTCTGTACTAGACTTCTCTGCTATTCCTACTTCAGAGCACATGCCAGATATCCCTAATCCAGTTACACCTCCTACCATAGCAATCAATGAAGAAGTCATTACCCCTTCAGACATGCATGTCTCTTCTGATGAAAGTTCACCAGCTGCTTTTATGGATGCAGTGCCCAATGGAACAGTGCATAATGCTCCATACACAACCTTAATCAGACACAGTCAGAAAGTGTTAGCAAGCCACCTCTTTGGCTGAAAGACTATATTACTCAAGGCAAAGGGAATGCGAATTGTTGCTACCCTATGTCCAACTATATAAGCTATGATCATATTTCTGCTTCATTCAGTACTGCACTAGCTACTTACTCCTCTTTTGAGGAGCCTAAAACCTATCTTGAAGCACTCAAAAATCTCAACTAGATTGTAGCTATGAAATCTGAGATTGCAGCTTTATAGGAAAATAAGACATGGAGTATTGTTGATATACCTACTCGCAAGGTTCCCATTGGCAGTAAATGGGTGTTCAAGGTCAAGTACACAGCCTCAGAAGCAGTAGAGAGATACAAAGACAGACTTGTGGACAAGGGGTACAGTCAACAAGAAGGCCTAGATTACACTGAAACTTTTTCACCTGTGGCAAAAATGGTGATTGTTAGGTCTGTGGTTGTTTTTATGCTGCTAAGCACTGGCCTATATTTCAAATGGATGTACACAATGCATTTCTACAAGGAGATCTTCTAGAGCAGGCGTATATGGATATCCCTCAGGGGTTTGCTAGCCAGGGATGGAATCATAGAGTCTGCAACCTACATAAGTCTCTATATGGACTTAAGCAGGCTCCAAGACAGTGGAATAAGAAGCTGACTGATACACTACTATAACTAGGCTTTACTCAAAGCTATTTTGACTATTCCATGTTCACAAAGCACATACATAATAAGTTGGTTGTAGTGTTGATCTATGTAGATGATCACCTAGTGACTGGAAGCTGTAATGAGTTAATATTGAAGACAAGAAATGATTTGAAGCTGAAGTTCAAAATGAAGGGCTTGGGAGAGCTTAAGTGTTCCCTTGCATAGAATTTGCCAGACAAAGGGACTGTCATGAGTCAAAGAAAGTATGCCCTAGAACTACTTGTAGAAATGGGACTTGGAGGTGTTAAGCCTACTGGTACACCACTGGAAACTAATGTGAAGTTGACTTCTGTTGAGTGTGATTCATTTGTCAATGAAAATGAGAACACTGAGGACAAGTTATTCACTGATGTAGGTTCGTATCAAAGGCTTGTTGGCAGACTATTGTATTTGACAATGAACGGAGTTGATATTGCCTTTGTAATGCAAGTGCTTTCAGTTTATGCATAAGCCCACGCAGTCATACATGGAAGCTGCTCTAAGAGTAGTAAGATATATTAAAGTTGCACATGGACTTGGCCTGGTAATGCCTGTTGAAGAATCAGACAAACTACGAGCTTTATGAGACTCAGACTAGGGAGGATGCCTACAAACTAGAAGGTATGTCACTGGCTATCTAGTGAAGTTTGGCAATGCTCTAGTATCCTGGTAGTCTAAGAAGCAAGACATTGTTGCTAGAAGTTCAGCTGAAGCAGAGTTTAGAAGCAAGCCTTCAACTGTTGCAGACTAACCTGGCTGACTGGGTTGTACAAGGAGCTAGGAGTAACTGTTCAATGGTCTATAGATCTTTACTGTGACATCAAAGATGCCATTCAGATTGCAGCACAATCCTATATTCCGTGAAAGAACAAAACATATTGACATTGATTGTCACTTTGTCCGGGAGAAAATATTTCAAGGAATGATCAAAACACATAATGTGCCTGCCAAAGAGCAGCAAGTTAACCTTCTGACTAAAAGCTTAGGGAAGCTGCAGCATGACTATCTTGTATCCAAGCTGGGGTTGAAGAACATATTTCAACCATCAGCTTGAGGGAGGGTATTGAAGTGTGAGAGTTGTTAGTTAGGAAGTTAGCAGTTGGTTAGTTAGTAGTGACAATTGTACATAATTGTTAAGTTCAAGAAGCAGTTAGCGGTTAGTTGTATATATTAGCTATACAATGCATTTGTAGCTTAATTAATCCAATAAGAAAGCAGCTCATTTCTCCTGCTCATTTTTCTCTCTGTTCTTCATCATCTCCTTCCTTTGATCAATGAGTGCTTGATCCAAATTTGATCAGGACCAAATTAGAAAGAGTAGAGAAAGTTATTTATATGGGACGAGGTGGAGAATATTTCAAGCAAACAATCAACAAAGGTTTCGATTCCAAATTAGTTGATGTTACTGTATGATTTCTCTAAATATATGTACTTCATATGAAATAACATTGCAACATTAAACTACAACTCCAATATCGTTTTCAAGTGTTGGATAAGTTCTCCATCCTTTCCGTAGCAACATCGGATCCGTCCTCATTTCTCTTGTATTGCCCAATTTGGTGAAACAACAAATTGACATTTTTCTAAAAATATACGTACGACATCGTCAAACCAATACTAAACTTATTTTGCAGAGATGGGGATACAGTGGAATTGAGTCTTTTTTAACTTTAGCTCCAATCATTTAAAGGAATAGTTATATCCGAGTTCCAGTTAAAAATACATTATGATTAACAGGCTCACGTTGGAATTTTTAGTTTCATGCATTTTTTTCTTTTTATATTGCTGAACTCTTTAGTCACAAAGTCATCCGATTCAAAACTGAAAGGTGAATGATCACGAAGAGTTATCAAAAGAATAGCTCATTGAAAACAAGGTTTGAAACTTTCAAGTTGCCCGTTCCCCTCGCAGATGAGGATGGATTACATAAACCACAATGCCATTGAGAGGACAACGTTGTGCATCTAATATCCTCGCAAGTCGCAACATGTTTCAGCAACCATCCGGTGATAAAATTCATTCACCAGACATACAGCAAAGGACCAATTTGTATTAATAGCTGCTGCTGCAAACATACAGCAATTAAAAGTTGGTGCACGTGAAATGCCAACTATCCTATTAAATGTAGTGAACGTTCTTAAGATTTACACTAACAATGAATTCGAGAAGTAAAGCAAAAGACTGAAGATCTGTCATGTCTACAGCTCATGCAACCATCGAGGAATGAACTGATGATAGATTTACACTAACAATGAATTCGAGTGAAGTAAAGCAAAAGACTGAAGAATCTGTCATGTCTACAGCTCATGCAACCATCGAGGAATGAACTGATGATATGGGGCAACAGAGAGGAAGATTTCACTGCCAAGACTCTCTAAATCCAGGAGAACCAATTCACATTTGAGTCTCATCACACTATAATTGGGGCATCACTTTATAAGGGACACGGTACTGAAGCAGGATCAAGCTCCCAGCAGCCTATTAAAGCCCCTCCTTTTTCCCCAGTCAGCTGAAATGCAGGGATCTGATGAGAGAATCTCCCGAACTCATCTTTTTTTATTTCTAGAATAGCAGGATTCAATCTTGGTTTTCTTAGAGACCTGAAGACTGACTTGAAACCATTCACACGCGCCATGGATGAAACTTTTATCCGGTCTTTTGAATTCTCGATGACCTCCACTATCTCATACTCAAACTTGTCTGGATCCAAACCTGATTTTTTCCAGTTCTTGTACAGTGCCCAAATCTCTCCTTCTCTTGGGTAGATTTCAAACCTATTTCTATTATTAGAGACTGTTTTCACCACGTGCGAGAAGCTACTGGGATCAAAGACTTGGCATTTTTCGTTCTGCACTTTGAATGTTCCGCAAACAGTCAGAGGAGCAGTTTTACGCCCTGCACTAGATTCAAGAAGGACTACATGCAATTTGAATGGGGAAGGAACAATCTTCTTAATCTGAGCATAAGTCTTTGGCAATGTACTATTTTGACCATAAAGAGCCCATACCTGATCTACCTGAAACTTCCCCATAGATCTGTCCATCCTAAAATCACAAAAAACTTCTTCAGAACCTTTTTCATCTGATAAAGTTATTGGATTTTTGGAGCTTCCAGAGGAGTTGCCGAGACCAAAGCTCTTTGTGCGTGAATGCGACTCTTCATCAGCTTGACGTGACAAATGACTTGGTATGCTGGGACTTGAATGACAGTTCTTTTTAATACAATTATCGTCAAAATCAGTGGAAGGATTGTCATTGGCAGAAAGAGAGCTCATCTTATTTTGCGTTTTCTCCGAGATGTTCACTCCTCTAGGAGATTTTCGAACCTTAGCAGACTCACCATCAGTAGCATTGATGCCTTTCAAGTCCCCGGACTTCAGAGATATCGTCGCATTCTCAGATGTCCTGGATTTGTCTCTAGTTCCAGGGGGGAAAGCAAACAAAACTTCTACAGGTTGAGAATTTGAAGTCCTGCTTTCTTCCTTAACTTTGCCAGGGTACCAAATATCGTCTGGATCAAGGGGTAGGGAAGCAGGATCAAGTTCAAACGATCCCGCTGGTACACCCTCTCGCTCAGTTCCAGTCATTTTGAAAGAGGGAACTCGATGAGAGAACTTGTAAAGTTCATTTGGCTTTACAAAGAATGTACCAGATACAGTAATCCTTGTTCGCTGGAAAAGGCTAACAAAGCCAGTCACTTTATCTAAGTAACCAACTTGGACACCAACATCCCCAACATAATCAGAAAGAATCTCCACAATTTCATACTTGTACTTCCTATGGTTCTTTGGGTCCGAGCTCCAACAAATATCCCAATCCTTGAAAAGGGCCCACGTTTCCCCTTTCCTAGGATATACAGCGTACAAACCTCTCTTGCCCATTTCGCACTGAACTTGATGAGAAAATGTAAGTCGATCAGAAGTGGAATCAGTACACCCACGTTTAAATTTCCCACAGCCAACAGGCAACTCTGCCCTGACCCAAGCTCTGCCTCCTTGATCTTCTGGATGAGCCTCGAGCCAACTGAAAATCACATTAAATTCAGGACTGGATACCTTCCTAATGTGGGCATAGAATCTTGGCATACCATCCTCCGTATCATAGCAAGCCCAGATTTGGTCAATTGCAAAGCAATTTTCTGCTTTGTGCTTGTCAAAATCACTGAATTCAGGATCAGGATAATCATACACCTGTGCAGGATTACTATCAGAAATGGTATCTGGTTCGGAATCAGAATCAACGAGAAGTTCAATATTTTTGGCACCCCCTGATGGCGGTCTGGAAGCCTGTCCATTAACAGTCCCAACTTTAAAATTGTTGGTTTGCACATCCCTTTCAGGACAGCCCAATCCATTTTGATTTAATCTTTCCACAGAATTACTGCACGGCCTAGTTGCACATGCATGTCTTTGATTATCACCGCCAACATCTTCTTTCTGCTGAGGTTTACTATCTCCAGCTGACTGGTTAGACCGCGCCTTCTTCAGATGGCTTGCCAAATCATTCTCATCATCACTTACACCTTCATTGTATGAAACATTCTGCCGATGCCGAGATGATCTCCTAGCGCCATAGGCATCAAGTCCAGTTCCTTGTTCAGCAGGTGGATTGTTTCCATTTTCAATCTCCACATCTTCTGTCTCGACACTGGTTGAAGTATCAGAGCTTTCACTCGATTCAACTGTCTGCTTCCGACCCCTTTTCCTGCTTTTGCGATCCACCTTTGGCATTGCAGCTCCTTCTCTCATACCACCTGTTCGCTTTCCATCCTTCCGTTTGGTTCTCATATCCTCAAACACTGGAGCAGTCTTTCCTCTGCATATCTCTGGACCCTGTTGGGGTCCAGTTCGTGTAGGTGGAAACCCAGCACTTCCTGCAGTCATTTTCGAGGTTCCTTGGTTAGGAAGTTCTTTCTGCACAAAAGACTGGTTGAGATTAGATTTAAGGGGCACATCCTGAAATGCAGGCTGACTCCATTTGGGTCCAGGAGGGACACCTTGAGAACCTATATCAAATGCTATAAAAGGCTTCGAGCATTTCTGACAACGCAGAGCACTGTTCACATAATTACTATAATACTGGTATCTAACTTTGCAAGAGGGGCACTCTGTCCAGAACGTTTCCTGCACTGCAGATGAAGCTGGTTGTGTAGATTGACGGTGATTTAGATTATTGAACGGAGCATTGAAACCATTGTGAACATTGTTTTGCCTGACAAATGGATATCGATTAACCTGATGAGGTGGTTGCTTTGCTACGAAAGATTTGGATAGAACTTTACACTTATTATCGTATGAAGACTTTTTAACTGGGTCAGAGAGAACCATATTTGCTTCCACAATTAGCTTGAAAGCTGCCTCTGCACCAGGCAACTTATTCTTGTCAGGATGAAGCACGAGTGCAAGTCTCCGATATTGTTTCTTGATGGTCACTTCATCAGAAAACTTATCAATTTGAAGAATCCCATACCAGTCCTTTTCTGATCCCACTACTTTGTTTTGAGATGAACAGTGAACATTACAGACAGCAAGTAACTGGGAAATGTTCTCCAGTTGAGGGTAAAGTCGTTCGGCTTTCACCGCAACCTTTTTAGCCCCTTCAAAGTCATTATTCAGCAATTTCTTCTCCGCAAGTTCTTTGGCCTTTAGGGCCTCGTCCTTGTTGCAGTCCATCACAGATTGAACTTAGTAAATTAACTGGCCAAGTGATAAGTATAAGTTCCTAACTTGTCTTCTTCATCTCAACTCTATAACAAGAAAAAGGGAAAGTAACATCAATATCGCCAAAAAAAAAAAAAGTGTGCATCATATAAACAGAAATCAAAGTGGATATTGACAAAATAACATATACTGTCACAAAGCAAAACAAGAGTACTAAATGGTAAAAAGGACATGCTGCATTTCTCAAGACAGGCATAGAAAAATACATTTTTACTTCTAGATAAGGAACTTTACCTTCAATTAGAACTTATGTGCTTTTGCAGCAGCTATGAGCGAGATTAGTGGCAGATCAAACCCACAGAAAGACCAGAAGCTTATATGAAGATATCAAAGTCTGCAATAAAGAATAGTCAATTTCAACTAATCTACGGAAAACGATTAAGTAAAATATAAATAAACAAAACACATAACAATAGATGTCGCATATGGATTTCTTAACTCAAATGGTATCTTAAAGTTTGGAGGTAAGTCTATTTCTAGATTCCCGACTTCTGAGCATATTTCATAAATGTGACAGAGCAAAATATAAGGTATCAGACAGTGAGAGTAACACAAGCAGCTCAAATTTTACCAAAAAACGAACAAAGGGAAGCAATTAATAGAGACCCTTACTTAGTCAAAGTATCAGGAACTGAGACAAATCTAGAATTCGAACACCAAAAAACAGATCAACAAATATCCTAAACCCTAAGACTTCAATTAAGAGAATCGGAGTTCATACTCTATTATTGAGAGGGAAAAAAAAGCCAGCGAACACAATCCAAATACTTCAAACTTCTAAAGCCCATGTGACCCAAAACCCTGAATCACAATACAAATCGAGAAACAGTACACACACAAGTATCTACACATACAGAAATATGCTTACCGGTATGAGCCACGCGCCTGGGATGAAAAGGAGTAAAACCGAATTATGAATATGGAGAGAGAGAAAACCCCAGTTGAGAATGATTTGACAGATAGACACAGAAGAGAGAGTTGGGGAGTCGCGGGAAAGAGAGTGAGAATTCAGGGAAAGGGGGAAAGACCCGGACTTCTGAAATTTCATTCCCCGACAAAAGGATTAAAGAAGGTTCTTCTTAATTTCCATATAAGATGGAAAAAAATTGTAGGGTGTTTCAATTTTGTTGGACTGGGCCCATAAATTTTTTGGTTTTCAATTTGGCCCATCTAAGAAATTGTGGGCTTTTAGGAGAAATTCAAAAATAGCCAAATTTACAAGTGGTCATGCAAAAATAGCCACAATTTAAAAAGTAATCGAAATTTAGCCACTTTTCATATAAAGATAAATCTGAACGAAAACACTATCCAAAATCCGGAAAATACTTCAGTATAATATACTGGAATGCCAGTATAATATACTAGAACTATAGTTCCAGCATAAGTATGAGTTCCAGCATAAGTATACTGGAACTCGAGTATATTATATTGGAGTTCCAGTATATTCCAGTATAATATACTGAACTTCTAGTATAATATACTTGAGTTCCAGTATAATATAACGGTCCAGCATAATATGCTGGAAGTTCATACACAGGGTGCTCCAATCTCCAGTATATTATGCTGGAACTTTCCGCGTATTGGAGTTCCAGCATAATATGCTAGAAGTTCATACACAGGTGCACCGATCTCCATTATATTATGTTGGAACAATCCGTGTTGCAGCAAAATAGTGGCTATTTTTCAATGACTTTGCAAACGTTGGCTATTTCTGAATGACCAGTCCGAAAACTGGCTAGCCCGTGCTATTTTTACCTTTAAAAAGGGAAAGTTGAACTCGAGAACTTTGATTTTTATTTTTGTATTACACTGTGGGATCAAGATTGTAGATGATGAAAGGAGAACAGTGAGAATTAAATGCACACTTATTGTGTGCGAGCATGTTTATTGTGGAAATTCCGTTTTCTCTACGACTAATATCTTCTTTCGAAGGCAAAATTTTTTTTAAAGCGGATCCATGTATAGGAGAAGGGGTGGTACACCACCCGCACGTTCGGATAAAATACATGTATATAGTACTATCTTCCAGAAAAAAAGTATATATTTAACGAGTGGCACCCTAAATAACAAAATGGCCAAGAGGTGCCATGGTTAGAGATCCACCTTTCCAACTAGCACGTGCAGGATCAAGACTCATTAGTGGCTAGTCAATTATGCTTTTCCTCTTGGCCCTACTTTCCTTTTTCCATTTCTTTTTTCAGTTCTTCTCTTTTTCTTAATTTCTTTAATTTTCGTCATCTTTGTATTTATTCTTTTTGTACAACCTCATTTTTATCTTTTGAATTATATATTTGCTTCTGTTTATTTTCTAGAACTCAAAATTAATTTTTATTTGAATATGATTTTAATCATTTTTCGTTTTAACCATCTAATGTTATTTTTCCCTTGATTTCAGATAAAGGACCAAACATCTTCATTTGGTTATCATATATTTAATTATGCACCAATAATTCGAACCGAATTAAGTCAAGAAAGAGCGAACCAATCAAATGTATACCCTAATTCAATCTTCTTGATAGTGGTAGATTTATATTAAAAATAGCCTCTTATAGAAATGCGTAGATCTGTGTGGTCCGGCCTTTCTCGGACCCCGCGCATAACGGGAGCTTAGTGCACTGGGCTGCCCTTTATAATGGCACCCGTAGCCATCAAATCATGGATCCGCCTATGTGTGCGAGATTCAAGGGCGGCTCAATCACAATAGTGGCCTAAAGCCAAAATTATTTATGAGGCCTTAAACCTTTTCTGATGAGAATTTATATAAATTTCATCTTAAATACATTTTTCTTGCTTTTTTGGTCAAAATTGGAAATATAATCAAACTTTTTTCTAATAATAATTTATTAATTGATAATAAGGTTAATATACATCTATATTTTCTTCTCCTTTTTGGATTCATTATCATACTCAAATAAATAAGGACATATTCATTTTAAAAATACAGTCTATATTTTTTTAATTTAGTATTTTATTAATGTTTGTTAAAAAATTACCAATAACACATTTGTGGTAATTATATCAAAATTTCAGTTCCTTTTTCTTTTCTTTTTTTGAGTTTTTGAGGTGCACGTGATTCAGTTTTTCTTATTCACATATTTAAATTCAACTTTAGTATATAAAAAAGAATAGAATATACCTATGAAATAGACATATAGAAAATAAAAATATCACATTAAAAAAACAACAAAAAGTCTTAATAATAAAATCTGATACTAGAAGTTGATAACTTGATAATTGATAGCAAAATAAGTTAATTTTACTTTGTTTACTTTGATATGCTTGAAAACTTTCAAATGAATGAAATAGAATTGCAGTTCAAGTTATTCAACGTGCTTTATTTTTTCTGTTTGACAAATATGTAGCGCATATATAAAAAGAAGAGAAAAGCATAATTACAAAGAGAAATTAGGAAACTAGGACCTTAAAAATGAAAATGAAATGTAATATCTGTATCTCCTTTTAGAACTAGTCCTTTTTGGCCATTTCTTTCCTTATAAAAGTTTTGCACTCTTTTCACTACCAAATCCAATATTTCCTATTAAAAAATTAAGATAAAAATTAACTACATGAGTACTAATTTTTTGGGGCCCCAAGAGCTTGGGGCCTAAAGTAAATGCTTTATTTGCTTGGCCCTTCAGCCGCCCCCGGCGAGATTCCTATCGTATCACTATATTGTAAGGTCGAGAACTTTTGATTTACTTTTTCACCATAATAATAATGTTTTTATTTACAATATCAACTGAAGAAACATAACACCCCTCGAACTACTTGATATTAGGATTAGGGATGCATAATTCTGTTTATACATACTAGTGAAGAATAATCAATCTTGTTACAGTATATTGCATCTTCGAAATTTGTTGCGTGCATCTAATAGCTTTGTGCATATCACGTGCAGAAAGCTATTAATGCTTGAATGCACTGACAAGCTTGATGTCGATTTGACAAATATAATGATTTATTTAGTAGTGAAAGAGCTCTCAAATATGAGTTGATGATTAAACTTGAAATAAATTATAAGGATAAATCAATCTTATTATATGACACTTCCAAAGTTGCTCAATCTAGTCGCTTTGTCATTGAACCTTTGAAATATTTTGTGTTATCATTTGTGATTCGATATTGAGCTTGTTAACCATGTGGATAATACTACAAGTAATATTTGGTCATTCCCGACATAGTACAAAAATAAAAGGATTGTTCATATTTGTACTCTAGTCCCTCTTTGTGAATTGATATTTTGTGTAATTTTGAATTTTTATATTTTGGAAGACTTAGAGGGTGTTTGGCTAAGCTTATAAGCTGGTCAAATTGGCTTATAAGCACTTTTTGGCTTATCTACGCGTTTGGTAAAATTAAAAGTGCTTATAAGTTAAGTGCTTATAAGCCAAAAGCCATAAGTTGGTCTCCCCCAACTTATCAAATTTTAGCTTATAAGCACTTTAGGTTTGACCAAAATATTTACTATTCTATCCCTAAAATACTTCTTTTTGAAACAAAACTCTTTGTATACCCAATTTTTTAGGTGCTTATTATTAATTTCGGCACTTTTATCCAAACACGTAACTGCTTATTTTTTAAATCAGCTCAGCACTTAAAAGTGCTTTTCAGCACCTATGCTTATCAGCTACTTTAAATCAGCTAAGCCAAACAGGCTCTTAGATGCTTGTCTTCGACTCTTAGGTGCTAATATGCTTATCTCTAGAGACATAACACTTAGTATTGAAAAAGAGATTTGTCTCTACACTCTATATAAAAGAGCAAATTTATGATTATGGATTCTTTTTAGAGGTCTTCGGCTTATTATAATTTTTTAGCGTGTGATGCACAAAATCTTTCTTTTTCATTGAATTTTTTTATCTAAAATACTAAAGTATCCAACGATCATTAGGTGTTTTAGCAGTAGAAGCAGTGCAACTCACATATACTAAGCTAGTTCTCAATCTAATACCAAGTGTAACGATACAATCTAAACTAATGACTCAATATGAAGATTAAATTTAAGTCCCATATATATTAAGATCAAAACTAATTGTTTGTTTGGGGAATCTTACTAGTTCAGTTGATTGGCTACCTAAATTTTTATGTTGTTGATAAGGGTTCGATTCCCCACCTTGTAATTTCCTCAGTCATTCCCTACCCCCCCCCCCCCCCCCCATATGTAGGAGGGGAAAACGGGCGGGTCCGGTTAGATATGGTTTGGGTCGAAAATGGGTAATGAAAAAACGAATAAATTATCCGACCCCACTCATATTTAATACGGATAAAAAACGGGTTAACCGGCGGATAATATGGGTAACCATATTATCCATGACTTCTTGCATATGATCACTTTTGGGAGAATTCTTAGCCTCCCTAACTTGAGGAACCCTCAATTTGAGGCTTTACAAATGTAAAAGTTAGACCCATCGGCTATCCATTTTTTAAATGGATAATATGGTTCATATCCATATTTGTCATATTTTTAAAAAGTACGTTATCCAACCCATTTTTTAGTGAATAATACGGGTGGTTAACTGTTTTCTTTTAACCATTTTGCCACCCCTACTTATATGTAACATATAATATGCAATCACCAAGAATAAATAAGGGATCTTTACATAAATAGCCTATCATATTCACTGTTTCTTTTTCTAGCCATCTACACATTATATATTGATTTTATAAATATTTATACACATATAATACACAAATTATGCATGTATTATACTTTCACTGGCTATTTTTAATTTAAACAATTGGGTGAACGGCTATTTGAGTTAATGTTTCAATAAATAATCCAAATTGTTGGTGATTATATTTGCAACTATTACGGTGGGCAGATTTACTTATCTAAACGAGCCTCCACAATATTTTAGAAAACAAAGTAAAGTTCAGATTTATAGATAATGTTTTAAAATCAAATCCAACTTTAAACACAAAAGATTAAGTTAAGATCAAATTAAATGCCAAATGTATGCTTATTAAATTTGATATTTTTGCTATATGGGCTAGAGTGACCCGACCCGAAATTGATAAGCAGATCAAAGGAGGACACAATCGGAATCTGTATGTCAAAGCTTA